CAACGGGCCCACCCCGTGGCGGCGGGGTGCTTTGTTTTCATGTTTATTTATGCTCACTTCTTAAACGGGTTCTTGTGATGTTATGGTCGCGAACTATGATGTGCCGCGTGATTAGGGCGTATAATTATTTCAGTTTCTGTAGAAGTGAAACTCATGATTTAATGTGTATTGCCATTATATTATTGTTAGAATATATAATAAAGTAACAGTAGATTTATTTGTTTGTTGTTTTGATTCTCAGTAGAATTTTCCAATTGTATGTCAATTCTATAGCTGATTTGGTTGTAATTGTCTCACAAAGCCCTGAAATGTTCCTCTCTCTAGATTATTTGTCAGAACTGACCGATTCTGTTTGTGTAAGGCTGATTGCTCGAATCACTGAACTGGAACGCTATTTTATTTTACGATTCATTTTGATTATATCCGTTTATTAGGTCTTTGCAAGTGTGAGCGTTTAGTTGCGTTACCTACGCATTATTAGTTTTCCATCTTCTAGATGGGAGGAGAGGCGGGGGGGGGATGCGTCGTAGCAATCAAAAGCAAACATGAATATAATTGTTCCCTTTTTGGATGATTTATGCTGGTATGAGTTCCCATATATGCTAGGGAGCCCCACCTTTAGCCCTAGCGTGACTACAAGCAAACAGAGCTAACAACAGAAGGGGCCCAATAACACAGGGGGAACCCCCTATGACCCTTGTCCATGTACGTTTCGAATGGCTTGAAGACTCTAAGCCCAATACATACCTTTGATTACCCGAAACAGGGGATCATTAGGTTTTATCAGGACCTAATTTTTTTTTCTCAGAATAGCTACAATGGTGGCACCAAGAGTTTAATAGTCATCACAGAGTTATTCCACCATGATCTGACCGGGGTATCACCAGGGTGAACCATTTATTTAATAAAAGCAGCATATTTTGATTGAGAGTTATTGGCATTCAGATTACCAACAAGGCAACAGCTGAAGTTTATACACGAGATGTATCCTATGGTGCGCGTTTATTCGGCCCCTTAGGCTTCTCCACGTTTAATCAGCAATGCTGAATCCGCCTCTTGCCTGGATTTCGCAGCATACCACACTGACGAAGTACGACAAACGTGTCGGATGGAATTAGTTGCATTTCATGGCACCAATCTGATAGGAGATGAAAGGGTTAATGGTGATCTGCATGCCAGATGTCTTTAAGATTTGAGTCTTAAGATACCCTTGGGATTGTGGGAAATCACTAAGGTGCCACTTAAAGAGGGTAACTAAATTTAATTTAGTTTTTATTGAGTGTCATTGTGCAACTGTGGAGTTTTTCTTTACGTAATGAGTGTTTTCACACATTGGGTGAAGCACAAGCGCGAACAGCCTCAGATATTTAAATTCAGTCATCATGAAAAGACAAAGAGTTGAGCAGTTGGGATCTAAATAGAATGTATTATATCCTAGGGGCACCCGGTTCTATGAAGTTGAGCTTGTACCATCTCGTGTTGCAATTCGACTATCAAGTTGCTTGTTTCATCCGATGTCCATTCACACGCCTTCACGAGGACAACCCTTTAAAAATTTTATTAGAGTCTAGCGTCCGGGTTCGTAGGGAATTTCAGAGTGTCAGTAATATTTCTTTCTCATGAGTTAAGCTACGAAGGAATGGATGCAATAAGCGGACCAAGTGTAGAATTTTATTTGGGAGACGTAGGAGGACTTTTTTCATAAATCCCATTCAATGTACTGTACTCTTTAGATATACGGACCTGTGGTAAAGGTAAGTACTACCTGGGGAGGCTTTTTCTTTTCAAAACATCATGATGCACAATTCAACAAATGATTCATTCAAGGAAATTATCAAAGGATGATTCCTAGGTTTCCAAAGATGCCGAAATTTATTATTTGTGCTATATGTACTACCTTAACACCCTTTTCAGCCTCTTCTTGAGCTCAATTTTTTTCCCCTTTGGAACTAGATGCGAAAGAAGGGGTTAGGCATTGGGGTTATCTATATGTATTGTTGATTCCCCTATAATGAATATATATGCGCATCAGGAAAAAAATCAAGGAACCTCTATTATTATAGGTTAGGCTGATAATAACGATCAACGGACGTATAAATCTAATAGAAAAGAACAACTATAGCCTCCCATAATATTCGAAATGAATCACTTATGGCTCTATTTTCCTCAGAGAATCCAAAAAGAAGCCACACGCACGGTGCTCACTACGCTGTATTGATCCATCTAAAGTCCTTTCCTCGTTGCATTTAAATATTTCCTCAATTGGAAGTGTCATGTCAGGGACTCCCTCCACATAGTCTGCTATCTCATTGAGGACATCCAATTTATCTGTGCCATTTTGAATGTTTGAATCGTCATAAATAGAGAGAAAGAACTGAACCTTGGCAAGTATTTTTTCTATCTCATAGCGTAAGTGCGATGCCATGATTAGATCAGCTTTGAGTTCCTTGGATCTAGCTCATGGAACAGTTGATATTCCTTTTTAAAATTAATAAGCAAATAACTCACTGTGGTAATGGTAGTTGTGGGATAAAAAAGGAACGTAGCCAGGGATTTCGTAAAAGATATCTTCACTTGAATATTTTACCAATTCACCTTATTCTTTTCAATAGTATCATAATATGATTTTCATTGATGATTATTTATACAAAATGATACTGATTTGCATACTTTGCGAGATTTCGGTAGTGAATACTTATCCAGCCTAAAAACTGCAAATAGAAGAGACGCAATACATTCTCTCGCACCGATACAGGGAAAATCGAGAATCGATTTGTCCACGACTGCTGCACTGGGCAATTTTACCTTTCTCCATGTCACGAAGATTTTACACCATTTTTTATATGATAATATTCATAGTCGAGAATCGATACGCATGGATTTCATTTTCAGCTTGGAATTGGCTTCTTCTTCGAAGATATGATTCATATAGTGCTGTTTAAGCGGTTGAATAGGCTCCTCCCTGCGTGATGACAGAACGGTCCCGAGAATCTGTTGCCGCGTGACCGTGCGTGGATTCATGGTTTCTGCAAAGTCATCGCATCTTACGTAGTCCAAATCTCTCCAATGATCCAGCTCCTTTATTATATTTCCGTCTGATGGAACCGAGGCAACCGCTCGAAGAACAGGGAGGATATCTAGAAGAGCGCGATCTTTCTCTAGCCTTTCAATCTCCATCATTCCTGCTTTTAAAAATTTGAGCACCCTCTCATCCAAGTTTTCTATGTCGATCGAACCTTCTTTAGTCTGGCTTAGCGCATGCATGTAGTTTTGCACGGTTGCGTCATCGACCTCGAAGGGGGGAACTTTAATGGCATTTCTTGGAGTCAGTGGGAAACTTCTCACGTTATCATCAACTATGACGACGCGATTGATTGGCCTCCCGAGCATGGGCAGGTACTTCATGTAGCCATGATTTTCCAATGTTTGGGTGCGCGATAATGAGTAAAAGTTTACATGATCCGTTCCACCTTTGCTAGAATTCTCTACACCATGGAGTAGTTTCTTGTAGTTGTAAAATGATGGTGGTAGCTGCAGCACTTGCGTCTCCAATGCGTCCATGACGGCACTACAGTAAGACGCTGTGCCGGCCGTCCAAAAGACTACTTCGAAGAGTTCATTGACTTCAAGCAGGAATTCCTTCAGGTGAGGCCGAGTAAGGATGTGGTAGTCCACTAGTTTGACATGACTCACTGCCTCAGAGCTCAAGTTGGGCTTATGATGAGCCATTCCAAAGGTGTGTATTAGAGTTTCGTCGATGTCCAACACTAACGTGTGCTTGCCTTGGTTTTTTGGAAGGCACGGAGGAAGTGGTACCGGCCATAAGGCAGGTAACTCTGAATACAATCCGATGGCAACGAGAAAACCAGGTTGCTGTTGTTGCTGCGCACCAGTTTCCGCGACCCTTGAGAGGACACAACGGGCTTTGTGAAGCATCACTTCAGTTAGTGGTGCAAATACTTTCGTAACAAAACGCGCACTGGAGAGGTATTATATGTGCGGCAATATATGAATATATATATTAGAAGGGGTAGGGTGGGGGGAATAATACCGCAGGTAAAATAAGATTCATGTGTGTTTCTCCGTACACATGATATAAGTGAAGAGTGGTGGGCTTATAGCAGTACCACACGTTGCAATTTGTCCAAAAGGGAAACCAAACTGAACGCATAAAAATACAATAAACAGAAGTAATATGATTTTCTACGTATAATAACGTTTAAAAACGTGTTGTGGTAAATAATGCTATCCACTTTTATCGCTAAGGAGGCATTTCCAAGTTTCATTCACACATGGTTGAATCTTTAGAAATGTACTGATTGATCACCGAAATCCATTCCAGAATTACCCTCCTTAATACGTCTGTTCGTACCACTTTCACAATTATTGTGTCGTGAAGCAAGAGACATGCATGCTATTCGCCATTTAGGACCCTGCTTGCACCGCTTGGGGATGGTTATTTTGAACCAAGAAATTTCTCAGCGAGAGTTTGGGACACGGTGAGTATACGCGTACGCGCTGCTGGGGGTGAGTATCCTTGGGCTCGTTTTACAGCCACTCCTCTTCAACCAAGAGCTCGATGCATGCGAATAGTCTTCATGAATAAAATTCTAGTGCTGCTCTTAAAATATATTTCATCAAAGAAATTCCACATACGGTTCTCTCCATCACTCAACTAGAGCAGCACAAAACTCATAGAAAAGCGTAGCTTTTGATATCTTGCCCTACCCAAAAAAGGTGAACAAAACATCTATTTCACATGAACAGTATAATGGGTTGAAAAGAAGGGGAGGGGGGGAATGCACTCCACGCATCGCTGTTGTTGCACCACGATCCTACTGACAATGGGACTACGCTCTTAAATTCTTGTCCTTTTTGACACCTCCAGACCTCTTATTTGCGAAAGCGCCCACCATTGCATCAGGAGCCTGATCAAACGAACAGCTTCACACATAGAGATAGAAGTATTTTGGAAGTCTAATTGGTTTCCTTGAGGCACGTGCTGCCGTATAGAACGTTTAAGCTCCTTCATAAACCAGATGCCGGCATGGCCCGTCCTTACTGAGGGCAAGATACACTTTTTGCATTATTTCTTGTTACCTTGTTTCACATTAGAGGGAGGCACCAGTACTTCACAATTTTAGCTTCTTCACACTTCAAATTTTAAAGTTGTTAAAAACAGGACTCCAAGTGGTTCCACACACTGCTTGACGCCCATGCCCAGTTCCTCTGTGTGTGGTCTTTGTTACTGGCCTGCATTCTGTGTTAATAATGATATGATTCTGAATATTATCCCGATATTTCCGTAGAAAAATGTTGTTCGCGCACCTGTGGATGACCTCGACCGTGCAAACTACACAGACATCATACTTATGCGATCGGACTTGGTTTACGAACACGGGCTGCATCACTGCCGTACCATTTTTCATTTCAATCAAATCGGAAGGATAACATATTCTCGTGGGGACCTAATTCAATAAGGGTGAGGAGAAGCATTCTATTTGACGCATTCGTTAGCGAGAGGATGGGCTACGTAGCATTTTAGTCATACATAATCCTAAAAAGTCGAGTGAAGATGCAAGTACCAAAAAAATGATAACAATATTTTCACAGGAGTTCAAAAACAATCCGAAGGGGCACGTTCATGCATTTCAAATACAGCCATAAAACATTTATGACCAGTGGGTGGTCACAAAACATCGAACGGCAAGTAAAACACTACCTAACTAGCTATCCCCAGAGCCAGGGGAAATGCAGAAAACAAGTATGCAATCCTAAAGCAACTCCTGTGAAAGCGCGAGAGCCAAGCGAACTTCGTCCGGGCCCTGCTTTTCCATCACCAGCTGTTGAAAGCAGCCTGACGTGTTTAATGGGCGCTCTGCCATACAGGTCAGGCGGACTCGCACCTCTCGCGGCCGCCTCTCCCGTTCCTTTTGGAAGCACCAGGACCCCCACGAGGCCCACCACGCGAGCGCGACGGGCTGCGGCGCCAGGATCAGGCCCCCCTCCCGGGGCTGCTCCGCGGTGGGCGCACCCAGCGCATGCACAAGTCCATTCCCCACGCAAGGAGGGGCCCCTTCTCCGAGCACCCCCGCCACCGCGAGGGCCG